ATTGACAATATCTTTAATGCAAAATTTGGGTATTTCCCTCTCCACTCTGCCGATTAAAACGTCTGATATTAGAGTAAAGATTTACAAAACATGTCAGACGAGCAGCATAACCTATTATTCAAGCGCCATCGCCTATCAAAGCTGGGTATAGCACCATCTAACGGTCACATAAAATTGGGTGATTCATTTGGTTTATAAATTATTTATTCGCGTCTATTACATGATTGCGCAATTCGTTTCTATAATGTACGTTCCGGATGGTTGCCCGTCAATTAAAAATGACTTGTCTCTATGACTCTCCACACTGTACATTATTGAATACTACAAATTACCCTGTAGACGGATTACGAGGGATACCAAATTAAGGGTACGAGCAATGAGGAGTGGGTTTTGCTAACTATCTGTCGCATATATATTGTGTAGAAAGATAGTACGTGGACTCTCGATGTGTCAATTGAAGCGACGTTCATCTTGTAACAGAACTTTCTTATGCGGGTCGAAAGAGGTTCAATAATGTATAAGTGCATTCAGACATGAATAGAATGTAGAACGGGGAACAATAAAGAGAGTAAATATATACAGATATAATAAGAATATATTGAGAAGAATAGATAAATAAATAAGCAAAAGGAAAAAAACATTAAAGACAAAATACAAAATAAGTAAAAGTTGTTATGAATTTATTTAGCCTATGCAGTCCGAAATAAGAGGTAAGTATATATATGACCATTTAGCGTGCGAGCGTTATTCAACTTTATGCTTAACCTGAGTAATGCTATCTTTAACACTTCAGTGTCCTGGCCGACCTGGTGCAACAAGTTTGAGAGGACACAAGAAGTTCGGCAACACAAACATTTGCACCATCACAGGATATGAATTTAGATAGCATATGGACAAGGCACCCATCCTCAAACCGGAATACAAAGAAATGCCATGAGATTACTACAACGAGGTAAAGAATTTGTATTGCTGTCAATATTCCATCATAAGTGTGCAGGTATATAAGTAAGCTAATTCATAGCGTGCGTGCGTGCGTGCGTGCACACAAGTACACCATACGCACGTCCTGTGCACAAACAACATGAATAAGAGATATTACTCTCAGAATTTGGCTGTAAATGGTGGTGAGATAAATGACATTATTTTTACATTGTTCTGTGTCCAACGTGTCATCTCTCACTGTGCCGCTGTCTAGTACTATGGATCATTCATTAGTGCCCTTATCAATGGTGACTATAGTAGTGTATGACTATTGTTGAACATTTCTTAATGTGATCTTCTATTGTCTTCTGTCCAATGCGTGTGCATGGGAACGTAATCCAACTCGTGGTATATTTACCTTGGATTATTTAACCTCAATTGCTTTTGTTGCCATTTCACACATTTATAGATAGACTGCTTTAAAATGGAAACCTTTATTGTTAGTGTGAACATCGTCACTACACTACCCCCCCCCCCCTGGGCGAAAAAGTTGCGAACCGTATATATATGGAGAGCAACGTTAAAAATATGAGTATACATATGGGTTGTTTTTCTCTTTTTTTGAAATTGCAATGAGACCTTATGGTAAAAATAAAAATAAATACGTAATTGTTGTAAAAACACTTGTGCAAATTGTCAGAAATAGGGTAAACATATATATGGAACGAGAGGAAAACGTGGTACAAACGTATTGTTTTGAGGAACAGGACAATGTGGTGTCGGAATGATCGAAGCTACGCTGGTCATTATGAATAAAATAATACTCAGCATCTATATAAATGAAAAGAAAAAGGAACCATTAGTTACACAAGTTATGAAGTATTGTCGGAGCGTAATATTTGTAGTGCTTATGTCATGTAGGGGTATGGCGTGTAGAAGAGAAATAGTGAAAAGTAGAAGTATCTATTAATACATTTATTGAAATCATTATCAAACATTTTTTCTACTGTTTTTGACAATATTGTCGTCGATTACTGTCCATCCAGGATGGAGGCGTTCAATATGGTCGACCTGTTCATAATAATCATCCATGCAGGACTCACACTTCGTCATCTACAACCTCGCACCGCTGGTAATCATCATCATCAAATGTTTTTTGTTCCTTTTTTACAATATTATCATTGGCTATTGTCCAGCCGAGAGGGAGTTTCTCAAAGACATCTAACTGTTCGTAGTAATAGTAATCATCCCAGCTTTCGCATCACTGGTCATCATCAGCGAAGCAAAGATGGCTGAGGGTGGCGAAAGTGGCGGGCCGTCCCCGGTAACATTCCCGATAGCGGGTCGGGGTTCCTGCGGCCAATTGCCGTATCGCGGACGTGCCTTATTGCCAGCCGCCGTTCTCGCGTGGCTCTGCGTCTGCATCTGCGTTGAACGGCTGCCATGCTACGCAGGGCCGGTAGCGCGGGTAGATCAGTCGCCGGTGGTAGGATTACACCCGGGGCATCGAGTGGTGTTTAGGGACGAGCCCGGATGATGTAGTCAAAACATCAAACTTTTGGGGAATGTCCGATGCCAAAACTCAATGTCCCGGTAGTAGTCGTCCCATGTGTAGGGCCCTAGCTCGGGTCACTGTGCCTGGAGAAGCTGAAGGGGGGGGGTCGTGGAGGTCGGGGTGCCGTGTGTGGGTCCTCACTATACGGATAAGGGGAACATTGAGGGAGTCGTAGACTGGGGTGGAGATGTGAGCAAGAGGTAAGGGTGTGGCAGAATCGATAATTGAGGTCGGTGGTGGCATAGGGGACACCGTGAGCACCGGCCGGGGCTTGGCTGCGTTCCTTTTCCTGGCAGCATCAGCTAGACGGCGTCGGCGCCGGTTGATGCGGTTGGCGGCGGCGGACAGCGCACACCCCTGACACCTGCCGCCTGAATCTGTTCTGATGGCCACGGTGATGCCCGTGGCGACGTCCAGGTAGTGTGGGTGCACGATGGCTCTGGCGGTGACGGTCGTGGGAATGGTGGCGATGTCGGCGTCCCTGACGCTCTCCAGGGTGTCGGTAGAGGTAGTCTCAGGAACGACGATCTTGACCGCGTTCCTGGCGTTCCTCTCCGCTGCCGACTGGAGGGCAAAGTCGATCGCCTTCACCGCAAAGTTCGTATGCATTCTTGCTGCTGCTACCGCCGCTTTCGCTGCCTCCTCCTCGGCGTCCGTGTAAATTCTTGCCGTTCTTACCGCCACTTTGGCTGCATTTAGCGCGGTGTCGATGATGGTATACTCGGCCGCAGAGATGGTAATTGAAGTGTTTATTGTTGATCGTGGATCGTGGATCGTTGAGGTAGTGTCGGATGATGTCGGTGTGCTTGACGTAAGAATAGAATTATTAATCATCATCAGTGTTCCACATCGAAAGGCACGATGAGAGATGGTAAGTCACACGGACAATACCCAGCAGGAACGCAGTGGCTGACGTCGGACGTGTCTTTCCATCATCCGACTAGATTGCGTTTGCACCTATCTGTCGTAGTCTGTGTACAGCATGTTCTGTCACAATCTTACTCAGAATTTGCATATGTAAAAGTGGCGAAATTCCCTTCACTATATGTATAGCAATATTGTCACAGTGATTGAGCATTACGTATACGACTTAAATTAGAGAGAGATAGCGTTGCACTTACCTATCATTTATCTTGAGGTATGAGGTGTTAGGTGACGTACGTTGATGACCGACGAGTGAAGAACTATATAAAAATCATACGGTTATGCACAATCAACATACTCATTGCCAACCTATAGATATTTATAGCGCTATATATATATATATATATATATACTGCGTTAAATAAGTACTTTTATTGCTAGTGTAAACGTTGTTACACTAATGGCTGCCACGTTCGCATTCTCGGCCTGCGTACGCTGTTGCCCACCCCCGCGACAAGGACAGGCAGTCCCCGATTGCAGCGAAATTCCGCCGCAACATGGCCGCGTCTATAACAATATCTACACGTTGGTTTACTGGCCGTATAATTAAAACGGGACTCACCATTGTGAAATTCGAATCGCTTCTTCTGTAGTTGCC